TCCCAAATCGCCCCTTTTGTCTCAGCTGCTCTCGCCTTCCAGCAGCTCTGTGCACACGCGTATTGGGAACAGGCTCCCCGGGTTCCTCTTCCTCGCTGCTGCCAGACTCTGGAGGCTCCGGAGGTAGCACCCCACTCCCAGATGGCCCCATCCCTGCATCAGGCGCAGGACTCCTCTCCAGGTTCCCGGACTGGTGCCCGTTCTTCCCCACTGTCCAATTCTTCTGCCATCTGCACCGGCTGCCGGTGAACCACAAACACCTTGGTGACATATATTGGTATAAACTCCCCCACCAGAAAGCCTTCTGGCTTCTGCATCGCTTGCTTGGAGGGAGATTGTTCAGCATTTCCCGGCAAGGATCCAAAGCTCACTCGGGGGATGTGTGTGTGTGTGTGTGTGGACTGGATCCAGCTGCCATTAAGCCAGATCCTCCAGGCTTAATGGGAGCCTTCTCTTCTCAGCTCCTGCCCTAATGCAATGCACCCCCTTCCAGGGAGGCCTCGGTCTCCCTGCTGCACTCCGGGAAATGATTCTTTTGTGGACAAATTGTTGGCCGCTTTCTCCTGGGCTCTGCTCCTTTGGGGATCTTCCCAGGCTGCTCCCCTCAGGACGGGGGTGGTGGTGGAGGCTTGTCAGGGAATTGTGCAGCAGGTGGAGCTTTATGGAAATATACTTATAAATACATCAAACAAGGTAGGCAAACTGAGGTAAACCACAGAGCAGAAAAAGGCGCCTAGGAGAAAAAGGCGGGAAAAAAAGGGAACGCCTACTCCACACCCACCGCAACCAATCACAGCACAGATTACCTCACGCAGGAGCCATCAATCAACCACCGTTCTATGTTCTGTCTCACTGGCTCACAATCCCACTGACCCAGTGACTAAATTTAAATATCTTAACAAGGTTAAAACATATAAAGAGAGGTTGCAGCAACTGGGAACGTCTAGTTTAATGGAAGGAAGGAGTAGGGGTGACAGGATAGCATCTTGCAATATCTGAGGGGCTGCCCCAAAGAGGAGGGGGATCAACTGATCCTCCAAAGGCAGGAAAAGAAGCAATGGAGAGAACTTTCCTGACAGAACACTTAACCAGCAGAACTGCTTGCCACCAGAAGTTGTGGAGGCTCCATCACTGGAGGCTTTTAAGAAGAGATGGGATAACTATTTGTCTGAAGTGATATAGGGTCTCCTGCCTGAGAGCAGGGGGTTGGACTAGATCACCAGAAGACCTCCAAGGTCCCTTCCAGTTCTGTTAGTCTGACTTTATCTACCAGATGGCACGAATAGTTTTCCCGTGGCTCCATAAACGCTTCCATGGCCCTTCCTTCCCCCGATGGAATAGGTCACCGTAGATCAGGACACAGAAATAATGAATTTCTGCCACCTTGATCGGCATAACATAGGAGGGAATCTGGCTATCGCTCGTATTTGGCTGCATTCGCCTTCCTGAGACTTAGAAAGTCCTGAGACCAGACAAACTTCATCATATATATATATTTTTGCAGAAACTTGCCCTTAAAATTGATTAGGTTTAACTGTCCTCCAAGGAACCATAAAATGTATATTTTCAATCTGCAGCCAATTTGTCAAGAATTGCCCAAAATGGATGATTTATGCTGGGCATCTGGTTAGCACATTACAAGAAACTCCAGAAGCGGGAAGGGCTATTTCCCAGAATTCAACTTTCTTAATTACACAACTGGAATTATTAATCACATGAGCTATTATTTGTTTAATTGTGATTTACGGACTAAATTATAGATGGATTCATATAAGATGCTAAACACGTGTTTCCCTGAACGTGGCAAGTTTAAGATATGCAGACTCAACTCCCAGAATTCCCCAGCCCAGCAAATATCATGATGTGATTCATTCCGGCTGACTTTCTCGTCTTTTGCCATTTATGTTCATCGTGGTTCATAATTAAGTATGGCTGGAAATACTCCCAGGAGGAGTTGAGGGTCTCCAGAGAGGTGTCTGCAGTTTCTCTTCTGTAAATCCCTCCCCCCCCCAAAAAAAACCCCACGGATAGATTTCAGATACATCCAGTACAATGGCTGTATCGCACATTTTTTAACCTTAGACACCTTTTCTATAAACCATTCTTTCTCTGAACCGAATAACAGAGTTGGAAGGCTCCTTGGGGGGATCATTGGGTCATCTAGTCTAACCCCTTGCCCAAGATCATAGAATCATAGGCTTAGAAGGGACCTTAGAGGTCTTCCAATCCAACCCCCTGCTCAAGCAGGAGACCTATGCCATTGGCCAAGGCCTTATAAAGTGGCATGAAGACTTCGTGTGATCTTGATTCTGTCCCCCTGTTAATGCAGCCTAGGATTGCATTGGCTTTTTTGCAGCTGCCGCCTGTGGCTGGCTCCTATTTAAAAGATGAAGTTCTGTCAGAAACTCAAAGATATTAGATCAGAGGTTTCCAAAGTTGGCAACTTTAAGACTTGTGGAGATCGCTGGCTGAGGAATTCTGGGAGTTGAAGTCCACAAGTTGCCAACTTTGGAGACCTCTGTATTAGACAGTCCTTAAGACAACGTTGTATTTTGGGGGGGTCCATAAATGGACAGATACCTTTCTTCCTTGGGACCCTAGAAAGAGTATCTGGGTGTAGACTCAGGAGCCACCTTCTAAATTACCTCAAGAGGCCCCTTGCCTGCCAATTCAGCAGACTTGCAGAGGTCTCTGTGGGGCTCATATCTTGGCAGGATCCTGATTTAACCCTCAGTGCTGGTTTTAGGGAAGTACGAGGGGAAAATGGCCCTCACACAAGAGGCAGTTGGAGACTCCAAGATTTTGCCTGTCTGCAAAAAAAATGATCTCCGCAATTCTTAAAAAGTGGATTAAGAGCATTAGAGGTAACCCTTGGCTTACGATCCCAATTGAGCCCAAAATCTCTGTTGCTAAGCGATACAGGTGTTAAGTGAGCTTTGCCCCACTCTACAAACTTCTTTGTCACAGTATAGGGAATAGCTGCAGTTGTTCAGTTAATAACCGTCATTTAGTGAATCCGGCTTCCCTCATTGACTTGGCTTGTCGGAAGGTCGCAAAAGGGGGGATGACAGGACCCTCTGGACCCCTGCGACCATCATAAATATGGGTCAGTTGCCAAGCGTCTGAATTTAGATCACCTGACTCTGGGGATGCTGCAGTGGTCATGAAAGAAAGTACGATCCTAAGACACATTTTTTCAGTGCCGTAACTTCAGTCACTAAAGAAACAGTTGTAAGTCAGAGACGGCCTGTAATGAATTCCCTTCCAGGCCCTCCAACCTTGGCAACTTTAAGACTTGTGGACTTCAACTCCCAGAATTCCTCAGCTAGTCATGCTGGCTGGCCAATTCTGGGAGTTGAAGTCCAGAAGCCTTAAAGTTGCCAAGGTTGGAGACCTCTGCACCGTTCAGGAAGCTTCACAAGGAGGGTTAGTTATGCTTCCTCTGATGTTAGGAGAGATAATCCTTCACTCTATGGGCCCAGAGGAGGGTCTCTCTTTGTCTCTCCCTCCCTCCCTCCCTCCCTCTCTCTCCTCTCTCTCCCCTCCTAGGTTTCTGGGCCGGCCACTCCTCCTTTCTTCCATTTGCACATGTTCAGAGTGTGCAAAATCCATCCCCTCTGTTCTCGTGCAAGACAAGGAAGTGAAGACAATCCAACCTCTGAGCAGCTACTAATCAGATACCACATAGAGCAGGGGTCTCCAACCATGGCAACTTTAAGACTTGTGGGCTTCCTCCCAGAATTCCTCAGCCATCTCTCTCTCTCTCTCTCTCTCTCTCTTTCTTTCTCTAACTCTTTCTCCCTCCCTCTTTCTCTTCTTCTCTTCCTCTCTCTTTGTCTTTCTCACTCTCTGTCTCTCTCTCTCTCTCTCTCTCTCTCTCCCTCTTTCCCACTCTCCCTGTCCCCCACCCCTCAATGCTCCAGCAAGCTCTGCTTTCTGATGACCCCACTGGGAGTTGAAGTCCCCAAGTCTTAAAGTTCCCACGGTTGGAGACCCCTGGACTAGAACGGAAGTGGCCAGCCTCCCCAAAGAAGGGGCTTCACCTGAGCGGGAGGGGCCTGCCAAGGTGTGGCTCTGGGGGAGGGGATCGGGGAGGGGGGGTGTCTCCCACACCAACCCTCCGGCGCTTGGCAGGCGCTTCTGATGCCCGAATGAGGACCCGGGTTGGAAGGGCAGTCCGCGCCTCGGGAGAGAGCGGTTGTGTGAACAGGGCCTGCCAATTCAGCCGGGGGTGGGTGGGGGGGCTTGGCCTGGGCAGAGGCGGAGGGGGCAGGGCTGGGGGGAGGGTCCCAGCCGCCTCCCAGCATTTCCTTCCCTCCTGCCTTCCAGCCCTCCCCCCCCCCCGCCGGTCCCTTTGCGCAGGAGCCCCCCGCGCAACGAGGGGTCGCTCACCGGAGCAGACGGCGGAGCCCCGTCGCCCTCCCGCGCGGCGAGGGGGCGGGCAGGCGCGCTTCTGCGGGCCCGCGCCTCGGCCGCGGTCCTCCGGGCCCTGCGGCGGCCTTGGGGGCCGGAGGGCGCAGGGGAGCTCTTTCGCTCCGCGGCGGAAGGGCTCCCGGGCGGCGCTCGGGGGAGGGCGGGCGCCGGGGGAGGGGGGGTGTCTGCCGGCGGCGGGGCTCCCCCGAGGGCCGCTGGCGGAGGCAGGGCGTCGGCGTCGGCGCATGCGCTCTGGCGCCTCCCCTGCGAAGCGGCGAGGGGCTGCGCGGCCAGTCCTACCTGCAGCACCGGCGGCGGCGGCGGCGGCGGCGGACAGCTCCTCGGCGCTAGGCCCGCCTTCCGCAGGTAACCCCACCCTCCCGGCCGCCTGGCCCCGCCCCCGTGGCGCAGCTCCGGCCCCCACCGCCCCCTCCCTCCCTCCCCCTCCCGCCTTGCGGGCGCCGCTTCTCATGCCCCGCGCCGGTGCTTCGCTTGCAGCCTCCGGAGTCGCGAGCAGCAGCAGCAGCAGCAGCAGCAGCAGCGGCCGCCGCCTCCCGCCGCCCCGCAGCCCGCAGGCGCCCCCGCCAGCCCCGGAGCAGGGCGCTCGTCCCGGGACCGCCCAGGAGGACCCACGCTGAAACTTCGCGGCAACTTCCCGGCGCCCCGCCATGGAGAGCAAAGGTAGGCGCGGAGGGACTGCCGCAGCGAGCCCGGCCCAGCCCGTCGAGGCCCGCGGACGGTCGTTGCAGCAGCGGCAGCGGCAGCGGCAGCAGCAACCCGCGGCGCCCGCTCGCCCCCGCAGCTGCGCCCGAGGAGGCGGCGGCGGCGGCGGCGGCAGGCCCCGAGCCTTAGGCCCTTTCCGCGGCCGGGAGCTGCGTGGCGGCTGGGCAGGCGCAGGGCATCCGCGTCCCCGGTGGACCGCGCCGCCGCCGCCGCCGCCGCCGCCGCTGCTGCATGCGGAAGGGAGCGCGGAGCGTCGGGGCGGCCTGGCCGGCTGGGGGAGCCCCGAAGCCGCCCCTCTTCCTCCTCCTCCTCCAGCTCCCGGCCGCGGGGCTCGAGGTGGCGTCGCCGCCGCGCGCGAGTGGCCGGTCCGCGGCGTCGGCGGTGCTGAACTCGAGCGGGGATCCCGGCCGGACGCGCAGGGCGCCTCCAGCCGTCCAACCTGAAGGGGCCGGAGACGGACGTGACTCCCCTTTGCCCCCCCGGCCGCCCCTCGCTTGACCCGGGAGGAGCAGCCGGCGCGCCTCTCCCGCGGGGCTCGGCCGGGCGCCGCCGACTTTCGGGCCGAGGGACCTGTGGACGTGGGAAATGTCCCGGGCGGGGGCGGGGGAGAGAAGCGTTCCTCCCTCCAGGCCGCCCGGGACAGCGAAAGGGGTCCCAGGCCCGGGGAGGGGCGCGCTGTCCCGCCGCGGCGGCGGGGAGGTTTCCCGGGGACACGGAGGCTCCGGCCGCGTGGCGTGGTGGCCGGCTGCCCCTTTAATCGGGGCGCCGGGAGTGGAGCGGCATAATAATAGCCCGCGATCTGCACAGTCACGATTCCGGCTGGGTGGGTCTCCGGACCCGGGGAAGGACAGGTGCGGGGCGCCGAGCAGGGCCGGGCCGCGATCGCCGGCCGCCCCAGCCGCGTGGCGGGCGCTTGGTGGGGCTCGCCGGGGCGAAGGGGCGAGACGGGGCTTTTGGTGGGGAGAGGCCGGAGCCTCCGGGCCAGGCTGGGGCAAGGAGACCTGCAGTGAAGGGATCCCCAAGGAGGGGCCGGCCTGCCTCGGTGCCTGGGGGTGGGGGGGCTTGGAAGCCCTCCTGGGTTGGGGACCATCTGTGGGGGGGGCGGTTGGGCTGCCCACAGTCAGCTATCCCATTAGGCCTTCTGGGGTCCGGCATTCTCAAGCACATAAGAACAGCAGCCCCCCCAAACCTCCCCCCCCCCCCCCCCCGCAGGCCAAGCTTCTCCCCCAAAGTGGCCGGTCAGCTTGACTGCTAGCAAGCAGGAGATGAGAGCCTCCCTGCTAGGGCTGGAGGGGTCCCCTGCCCCCAATGGAAAGTAACAGCCCCCCCCCATACCTCTCTTGGCTTCTTTCCAGCTTCTCTAAATACCCCCAATATTCCCTGGTATTGGGGAAGCTCCCTCCTTGCCCCCACCCCCATGACTGAAACCTCTTGACCCATCTTCTCCCCCCCAAAAAGCGTCTCCGACTGAAGAGCCTTTTCCAAGCTCCCCTGACCCTTTGGGTCCCCCTCTTCTGTACTCCCTTCAGCCATGAGGACTAGTAACCAGATAGAGCAGCAATCCACCTGCCTGGCCCAGAGCCAGCTGCTGCCTTTCGGACATCCAGGCCCAGATGCCGGCCAGCTCTGGCGCAGCCTCAGATCCCCTGCTTGTCCTTCCTTCTCTAAGTGGTTCTGGAAGTCCCGTCCCGGCTCGATTTGCCCTTCCTTGCACCCATTCTTCCTATTTCAAAGCTCTCCAGGGCTGCAAAGTTCCTTCCTGCGGGGGAGGCGGGAGCAGGGACCCTCCTGCTATTCCTCCAGAGTAGGAATTGGGCCCAGGGAGCACTTCTCTCCCTTCCTCAGGGGCCTACGCACAATGGCTATTCAGGTCATCCCTGGGGAGTTGCAGGCTGACCACAACAACTCCGAGAGGCCGGACTGGGATTTGACCGTTGCCCGGCCTAGTTCGTCCGAGGCGGATTTGGAGGCATTTTCCTTCTCATCAGAGCCCTGAAAAGAAGGAATTTCCCGGTCTGACTTCGGCTTCTGTATGTTCCCTCACTTGGATTTACAGCCTCTCAGGAGCAGGCCTGAATTGGAAGAATCTCTTTGGAGCAGGAGGGGGTTGGGGGTTTTTTTCGGGGGGGGGGGGGGGGGGGGGTTTTCTACCAGTTGAACAGCCCTAGTAGTCCAGAAGGTTGGATGGTAGGAGCTTCAGAGCTTTTGTGTGGGGAAACCTACACCCAGAAAACGGTCTTCTAGTCCAGTGGTCGCCAAGCAGTGAGCCGGGGACCACTGGTGGTCTTTGAGAAAATTTGGGTGGTCCACAGAGAAATGGCACCCTTTAAGCAATTAATGTGGAGTGTGAAGGATGTGTGTTTGTGTTTATTTTCATGGTCGTGATGTGCACTGAAGATGGGGTTTGTTTTTGTTGTACAGGTGCAATGACAATAAAGTAAGCTAAATAACGAATTCAGGCTGCGCAGGAGTACAAGGCTGCCTCGTCCACATGGCCTGTGGGAACACAAGGCTTGCGTCGCTTGCATTGCGAGCAACACAAGAGTGAGGGGAGGGGGTAAAGGGCGGAGGGGGAGAACTCGCCCCACTCACCCTACATGCCTGGCCTGGCCACCAGGCTGCTTCTTTCTGCTTCTTTCTTCTTCTGCTTCTGGCAGCCCGCAAGGAAAGCAGCCAAAGTCTTTCTTTCTCTCCCCCAAACTCCGCCAGAAATGAGCCTTGGGGACCCTGCAAGGCCTCCTGCTCCAAGAGGCTGCGCCGACAAAGACTCATTTCTGGCAGAGTTTGGGGGAGAGAAAGAAAGATTTCTGCGGCTTCTGCTGCTTTCCTTGCATGAAGCCAAAAGTCTCTCTCCTCTCTCTCTCTCCCCGAGGACAGAGCTGGAGATGGGATCCTGTGATCCTAAATAACGAACGATAGATCGATAGGAAAACGGGGTGGGGGATTTTCCTGCAGACTTTTGGGGGAAGATTTTCCCAGGGTCTCTGGTCCGCGGGATTTAAAATGATGAGTTTGGTGGTCCCTGAGGTCCAAGAGGTGGGCGACCCCTGTTCTAGTCTATCCCCCAGCTCAATCAGGAGACCCGGTTCCAGACAAGTAGCTGATCCGGTCTCTTCTTAAAAGCCTCCAGTGCTGGAGCACCCAGAACTTCTGCAGAGGAGGCCGGCCTCTTCCCAGGAGGCCCCCAGTGGGACGTTTCAGCCGGAGCCATTCCACAAACCCCTGCAAAGACCTTTGAAAAGAGCATGAAAGGGAAGCGAGGCACTTTACTTGGGGGTGGGGTGGGGTGCTGAGACAGGCAGGGGGAGGGGCCCCCAGGAGGTGAGTGACATGCAAGGTCAGCCCCCCCCCCCTCCTCCCCCCCCCCCCCCGTGCTGGGTGTCCTCCTGACCCCAGAAGCCCCAGATCTCCTGAGACTCTTCAGCTGAGTCTGACGTCCTTCAGCAGCCTTTGCTGGCCTGGCAGGAAATGTGGCTTCCACCTGCCCTTCCTGAGAGGCCTCAGCTGACCAGAGCTCTTGGGGGTCATGCCAAGATCAAGGGGGGGCTCTGGTTTCTTGCTGAGCTTGGCGAAGAAGCCCGTGAGGGACACCTGGAGGCTGAGGATCTTCCAGTGTCTGCCTAAATTCCTGCCTAAAAAGGAAATTCGAGGGCGACTTTACCTTCAGAAAAAGCCACGAAAGGACACTTGTCCGAGGCCCCTTCGGTCACCGGAGCTGCCTCTCACCAACTTGTTAATCTGGTGGCTTTGAAGCTCCAGTCTGGCTTCACGCTGGGTAGAAACACACCGTCTGAGGGTGGGGGAGGATTGTGGGGGCTCTCTGAGCCTGGTTGTTTTCTTGCAAATGTTTAATTAACATGCTCAGTGTTGGAAGGGGAAAGGAGGAGGAGGAGGAGGACCGTAGGGTCCTTGGGGTTCTCTGAGCTTGGTTGTTTTCCTGCAGACATTTCATCACCCAACTAAGGAACATCATCAGTGCTAAAAAGGGAGGAGGGTTTGTAGAGATGAGGAGGAGATAGAGAGGCAGGCAGGCAGATAACAATGACTTGGTGGTCCTTGGTGGTGCTCTCTGAGCTGGAAGGTTTTCTTGCAGACCTTTCATTACCCAACTAGATAACATCATTGGTGCTAGAAGAGAAAGGGGGGGGGTGCAGGGAGGAGGAGGAGGAGGAGGAGGACTGCAGGGTCCTTGGCGCTCTCTGTTCTTGGTGGCTTTCTTGCACCTGTTTCATTGCCCAACCAGGTCACATCATCCGTGTTGGAAGGGGAAAGCGTTTGCACCGATGACGTTACCTAGTTTGGGTAACGAAGCACCTGCAAGAAAGCTGCCAAACTCAGAGAGCACCAGTTCCCATGCTCCTGGGCCATTTGGCCTGGGGTGGCCCTTAGTGACGGCGTGGCTTTTCAAGTTTTGGATCAGGAGCGGGAAATGCGGGTCCCGCTGCGTCTCCAGCATGGAAGCTCCCTGGGGGGACGGTGAGCCAGGCCAAGCACCCTCAGGAGCAGGCCCTTCATGGGGGGGGTTGCTGCCCCGGAGGCCCCGGTCGAGAGCCTTCGGTCCAGGATGGGCTGGGAGGTCGCCCCTGGCCTTGGTCCCCTGGGCTTGTGCAGAGGCACCCAGGGTTGAAAACCCAGAGGGGGTGGGGGTGGAATGGCCTGGAAGACAAGACAGCTTTGGAGGCCGATCCAGGAAAGGTGAAGGCTCCCCATTGAAGGCAGAGCTTCCGTGGGAGTTGACTCGTCTCCGGCTCACCTTCACGAAAGGCCAAGAGGGCAAATGACAGGAGAGACGAGGCCAAGCTCTCTTGCCAGCCAGCTCTCTGCCCTCTGGTCTCACTCACTGCAACTCCTCCCCTTCTGGTGGTCGTTAAGAGAAGCCAGGAGGCTGGATGAGGAGGCCCAACTGGATGACCCTTCGGCTAGAGGGGTGTGTGTGTGTGTGTGTGTGTCCAAATTTG